CAGCGAAGGAACCACCAACTCCAAACTGCTACCACCGCCACCACCACCATTTGCACAATTTTTCATGTTCCCTCAGTACACCTGGTCTCAGATCCCTAGCAAATTTACATCGAAGACCAAGGCATCAATAGCGGATATTGAGGTGACTCTGATTGAAACTCATGCTAATCTTCGAATCCTGTCAAGAAAAGGTCCCAGCCATCTTTCCAAGCTTGTTGCTGGGTTTCAGTCACTTTACCTTTCCATCCTCCACCTTAACGTCACAACCATTTATCCATTAGTTCTCTACTCTATCAGCGCCAAGGTAATATGCAAATATATGCACTTTTTCCCCATCACCATCCGTCATCTTTCCTTTTTAAGAAAAATAATATTCCCTTGAAATTTCAGAATACTCCTAGTATCAAAAATCTGTAGTCACTGCAGATTTTATCCGAATAAATATATAAAATGTTTTCAAGGAAATTAAAAATTGATTTATAATATGGTTAGTCCATCCATATTCTGATTTCCTTAATTTGAGCAATAAATAGCCTAGTAGAGATGGTCTTCAATTATTATAAAATGGTGGTGTGGCAAATGCTGTCTCTTCACCTGCATATATACATTTGTTTTACCCTTGGATAGGAAAAATGTCATTTTCCACAAGTTTAGAAAAATCAAATAAATTTTTAGAAGTTATAGTAGTACTTAATGGCCTTGAAATTATTTTCATATGGGGAAAGATGGCAAAGAAGAAAGATTGTTTTTTTCTCACTTACTACTGGTGCTTCCTTTGTTTAATTAGCAAAACGTCTTCGTCTGTGTAATTTCAGAAACTCTCACATGCACAGTTTTGGGTTAAAATTCGAAACATTCTGAATGCAGGTTGAAGAAGGATGCCAACTCAGTTCAGTAGATGACATAGCAGGGGCAGTTCACCACATGCTCAGAATTATTGAGGAAGACGAAACTGCCTTATGTTGATCAACTTGTGCTAGCTTTACCCAAATTATCCCTTAGGTTTATGGTGAAATCCCATAAAGCCATCACTTGTTTTCCTTCACTTCTTTTTTTTTGTTATTTGAGAGAGAGAGAGAGAGTGGGTGGATTCTGGCCTTCTGGGTTGACTTGTCAAGAGTTTCTACAATTTTTTTTTTCTTTTTTGGTTTAGTTTTTATTGTTCCTGTATGTAGTTTGAGTCAAACGAAAAGTGTGTCTTGAGTTTTTTTCTTAGGCTTGACTTGCCAGGATGTTCATCTGGTAAAGTAGGATGTTTTATCAAGAGTGTATCAAAATAGAAACTTTGTTAATTACTACTTTTTTTTCCCTTTATATGCCATGGGGATGGTCTCTCAGGTCCCATGCATGCTTACAATATGCTTTGTTTTGCATATGAACCTGCAGCTGGTTCGCCTTTATCTCGTCTCCCAAGAATGAATTAACCACACTTCCAGTTCCACAGATTGTCGAGAGTTCTTGATTCTCTCGCATTCCTGTCTTTTGCACTACAATCCTTAAGCTTAATCCTATTAGATTAAAATTTAGGTTCATTAAATATAGCGTGGATATTTATGTGAATGTTGAGATCTCAAGTGAAAATAATTTTCTCTTTCTCTTTTAAGTTAGAATGAATGCTGAGACAATATTAAAGATAGTTTTGTAGGTTGTTCATACAAGATACCTCTCAGTCAGTGTATTAATGTAGTATGAAAACCAACTTCGCAACTGAAAATTCACTAGAAAATTAAATGAAGGTTTTAATAGCTAGGTCTATTCTATAAAATTAACTTAGTTCAAGACAAGAAAATGGCAGTCATTAGTGTAATTGTAATTGGCCATGAAACTATTAAATTTCTTGGTATCTCTATCTTGATACATAACGTTTACCCTTGTGAATTTAAAATTGTATGTACTGGTGAATAGATGTTTCAGCAGGAAGGCAGGCCATTCTTATACATGCTGTAAGAAATTGCCAGTGAAAACACCTTGCAAAAAAGTCTCACAAATTAAATTAACTTTGTTTTTTTTGTTCAATACGTTGTAAGAAAATCCAAGTACACAAGCACTTGATTGGCTGGCTCAATGTGTCCTGTCTCTCTCTTCTCACACACGGAGACAAATTTTCATTTCTTTGGTTTTCAATCTTGGTGAAGGAAATGGAAGGTTGACATTCACAGAAGTGCTGCTGCAAGGGCCGGCCGGGATGGGGGTGTGGCTTTGGGAAAAGTGATGGGTTTTTTGTAGTTTGCAATGGAAAAAACGCAGAGGGGTAAGAGGGTTTTGTGGGATCGACGTCGCATCTTTCCTTTCAGCCTTTGTTTTTGTTTCTTTGTCTAGCAAGAATCTGTACCTTCATTAAGACTTATGTCTTGTTGTGTTATTAGACAGGGATGTCGGCGGATGAATCTTGACAAAGTTACCCTTACATTACTACTATATTTAAATTTGTTTCAAGCAGTAATCTTTACTTGGTGAAACCAACAGATTAGAACATTGAACTGGAATTTGATAAAATGGCTTCAAAGTGTGCATCTGTGTGAATATTTTAAAATGATATAGAAGAAGTCTGAAAACATCATCTATAGTCCATCTTGCACTTTAGCCCATTTTAGTTCGGACACACGCTCATTATTTTAAAGACCCTTATTTCTTTTCCTTTTCAATGTGAGATTGTATACTGCATACACAGGTTTTCCCATGCATTCCTCCCAAAATTTACCTCCATGATGAACAATGTTTGTAACAACATATCCTATTTGATTTTCCTTTTAATGAAAATTTGAAAAGTAAATAAATTGTTTAATCTAATAAATTAAAAATAAAATATTTACGTGCATATATGTATTGGAAAATTTATATTTACATTTACAGTTAAAAATAAAATATGTACATATCTATTGTACAAACTTACATTTACATTTAGCTCCAAATACGATTGCCTTTCTTTGTAAGGAATTTTTTCCCCCTTTTAAGGAATTGCCAACTCACATAATTGACTGTATTTTGTTTGTACAATTTCATGCAACAGTATCTTATTTAAACACTGTCTCCTCACCAGGTCCTTTTTTACCAGGAAACTTTTCCATGCAGCTTTCTCTTTGCACATTACCCTTTTTGTCTTTGTTTTTTTTTATTTGGAAAATTCTACTTTCCACATGTATAATTACTCATTCCTTGTCTGTCATTGCAAAATGTGATCAGTACCATGCATTTTTGCTGCTTAGTCATCTTAATATGTATGTAACACATATCTATGTATGACCATGCATGTGGAACATCATGCCCAATGAAACATGGAGCAAACAGGACTCAACAATCAAATCAAAAGAAAAAAAAATTGTATTTGATGTATTATCATTGAATAAATTTTATACATTATCAGTAAATTAAATTTTGTTATGTATAAATAATATACACAGACAATAATAAACTTTTAGGCCCCAATTTGTTGGCCCAGGAACTCACTTGGGCCAGAAGAAGCAAGCTCTTCTTGAACCCATTGTCCAATGGACTTCCCCTGAGTCAGGGCTAAAGATAATTGTGATTAAAAAGACCAAAATGGGCTGATCAACTTTCCCGGAGCCTCATCTCTCTAAGAACACATCAGGCCGAAAAAATTAAATCTATCTGAAGGGGGATGATGGTACTGATGAATGATCTGACTTGGAGATTCCCTCTAGACGTGAACACAATTAGGACCGTCACTTGTTCAGCAAAAACCATGTTAATCTAATAAATTCTTGTACCATGGTTAGGTCCGGATGAGTGTATATCCAAAAATACCCACCCCAGTGACTAAAATTTAAACATATTCGACTTATTCAAAGAGAAAAAAACTCAAACATAAGGTTAAATTCATATACATATGCATGTATGAATATTTGTTTGTTGTAGATTTTAGGAAAAAAGGCTTGGGCTGGTTATATTATAGATTTGTATGGTTGATGATGATGGATTTTTTTTTTTTTATCTTCCTGATTTCTTGTTTTCTTTTATTGCTTTCCTAATTCAGTTCCCATTTAGATACATCAAGGAGTACTTTGGCATTAAACCAAAGGTCAGGAAAGAAAGTGGAAGCAAATTGTAACCAGGAAGTAGAAGCAATGGAAAAAAGACAGAAAAATTACTGACAAATTACACATTGAGATGTCTTTGGATTTCATAAGAAGATTAATATATATAGTTCTTACTTAGGCTAACAGAGTATCTATATCAATAAATAGATAAAAATGTAAGACAGTCACACAAAATCTCTCTATCTCTTCATGATTGTAGTGCTATGAATATGATCGGTTTCTGTCAGAAAGCTATATTTAGAGAGGAATAGCTGGATCTCTTACTCTTCCTTGCCTAGTGAGAAAGAATCTACCACTGGAAAAGGATCTCTTCATTGCAACAGGGTTCATTACACAGTGCAACACCCTCATTTTATTGCTAAGCTTACTGCCTTCCGCTGATTGTTTCGATGATCCGGCAATACCTGATGAGAAGTGGCACTCTTCGTCTCTGCTGTCTTCCTCTTGATTCATATGCAAAATATCAGCAACTGAAGTTTGGCTTTGACATGGATGATCCATGGAAACTGATCTTCTCATCTGTTGATAACTTTCTTCTCTAATCTCAATCACGCTGTCTCTTCCTTGCGCGTTGCTTAAATCGCTGAAAGCACGCGATGGGGTTTTTGGCAATCGACTAAGATCACTCTGAAATCTGTCTACCTCCTGCATACTCCCCCTTCCTGAGTCTTGTGCAGCAGCTGCATATTCGTTTGTCACGGGTTGCCTATCCTGCAAAGATTCATTGCCTGGAGGACTTTCTGTCACTGCAGGTGGCAATGGAAGTAGTGAAGCACTAATAAAGATTATATTAGCACGGCACAAAGGGCAATTTGAGTGAGACCTAAGCCATGTATCAATGCAGTGGACATGGAAAGCATGGCTACATTTTGGCAGGAGCCTTAAACTCTCATCTTCTTGGAACTCACTGAGGCAAACAGAACAATCAGTTCCTTCAATCAAACCGTCACCCTTCTTGTATTTGCAAACTGTAATCGACTTGATTAAAGCCTCATCCAAACCGGTTGTTGAAGTCTGCCATGGCTCATGGACAGATGGGCTGTGATTGTCTTCCAATACTTCACCAGGGTCATGATTCTCTCTTCTTCTTGATGAGTCAACATTCCCACAATATTTAGATATTATTGTGTAGTAACTTACTAAAAGAAAAGCACTGGCCAGAATGCCAATGATTGCAATCACTAGAGGGGAGAAATTTGGGCCTGAATCATCATCAGGAAATTCTATGGGAGGTGGAGGAGGGAAAATGATATAGCACCATTGTGGACAATACAAGCTACAAAAACCTTGAGAGCAGTCTTTGGTGTTCATGTATGGCACCCAGGTTCTTGGGTTACCGACAGACCCCATGACAAGTCAAGAAAAACTCTACTGAATTAAACCTACTATCAATTCTAACATAATATCTCTCTTCTTCCTATGCAGGAAGGTTTCAGTTGCAACAACTATATAATGAGGATGAATAAACAATTTAGACCGTTTGCATCCAACCCCTTAGACAACAAAGACAAAAGCTGGAAATTTACAAGAACCTATTTCTAGAGACTCTTCAGAAATAATAAGATCATTCGTACAGAAAGTATCAAAAGATTACCTTAAAAATGATGCAAACAGGATGGCCTGAAATGTTTTCACCTAAGAAACGGTTAGAACCAAAGAGCAAAAACACAATGCATTACAATTGGACATTACATGTGGAAGATTTTAGACAGAACAGAGTGTAAGCCTGTTAGGGGCTCCTGCAATGCAAATTTCATGAAGAGACAAGAAGGGGTGGAAAAGCAGCCCAAGGGGCTTACATGGAAAGCAAAGCGAAGACAGCCAAAACAGGCAGAGAGGTACTAATGGGTATTTCCTTTTTCTTCTTTTTCTTTCCCTTCTTTTCTTTTCTAGCTCTTCTCTCTCTCCCCCTCTTTTTTTGTTTCACTCTTCTTTAGCTATCTTTTGTATGTGAGGATAATGATATGTTGACTAGGGGGTGATGTTGGTTGGGAATTCATAAAAGTAATCAATGCTTTATTATCGTCGAAGCCAGTTGCAGTTGAAGTGAATATATTGCATATTTCTCATCTTTATAGTTATAGGTGGAACTGTGGAAGCTTGTGATGACTTTACATGTATTCCCTAACCGTAAGTTAACAAGTTTTAACCCAAAAATTCTGAATATCTGAATGGCCCAATGAGCCGTCAGATTAGGTGTACCAGATGAGAGTTCAATAATGCAAAACTACTTGTTTTTTCGCATGAAAGGAAAGTAATGATATAGCTTTTTGGCATGAGGGTATTTGTGCCTAAATCTTGAAAAGACAGGTCACACACTCACAGTCTCCCAAGGTAGGCCGCAAGACCAAATATTTCCAAGGGTTTGGGACTTTGGGGTCAAATATAATCCTTGCTTTCATCTTCTTATTTTCTTGACCTCAGTGAAATGAAGCTCCAGGGCAAGATGTAGTAGCCTTTTTTGTGTTATATAATAACGGAAAAGCGCAACAGAATAAAAAAAGTAGGAATATTTCCTGAGACACTAGACATAATTATCCCAAGAAAAATAAAACGTAATGCTCCATTGTCTCTTCTAAATGCATCAAATTGTTGTGTGGGGGCCTCGGCAAAAGATCTGTAAATTCTGATTGAGATGAGCATCTATTCTCCCACATTTCATAACCCAAGTGCCACATCTTTTCCTTGCCATTGAAGCAAGGGACTTCGATTTTCTGACAATAAGACCAACGTAAGAGCAAGTTAAAGAAAGCTGGAACTCAGGCGACACCCAGAATGTTTAATCAAAAAATGACACAAAACTGTTTTCCAGGTCGATTCGAAGATATGAAATGACTTTTCTTTACAAGGTAAAGTTGTTGTCAAAACTATAGATATAGAACAATGAGCATTAGGCAGTTTTAGTCAATGAAGAAGCTTTCTTTTAGTCAAGTGTGGTGACCAAGAAGCCTCTTTCTCTCTAACCAAACATCATAGTGTCGTTTACCTTTTCTCTTCTTTTCATTTCTGCTTTATCAGTGGTCTCTCTCTCTTTCTCTCCAAAGTCACACCAATCCTCTAAACACTTAGTGACCTATCATAGTGACCTATTAACTTTAATAATCCTTGCCACCATTTCCTTTTTGCACTTTCCAAAGCACCATTTGTATAAACTTCTGATAATCTTAAGCAACCAGAGACCCATTGTCTCACCAACCTGTCAAAAAATAGATTGTAAAAGAAGAAGCAGGGAATGAAATTTTATGATACAAAGAGGTAGATGTGCCCACCACACCCACCATTGGGAGATAGGTCAGAGATAGCATAAGATTCCAATTAACTAGGAGGAGAAAAAGCAGATTAAATTAATCATCAAAATTTGAAAAGCATATGATCATTATGTGTTAAAACGATTCTGATGAATGTAATCATAACAAGAATAATACTAATAATAATAGTAAGATATTACCGAATTAGAATATAGATGTCCTTCTTTCAAAAAAAGTTTGCTGTTTAAAGTATAGGTTTTTAACATGATCATGTTCCACAATCCACAATAGTATCAGTTGAAGTAAGAAGTTTGCTGTAGAAACTGATAAGAAGTGCATTCCTGAGGTGGAAAACGAAGCGATAGTAGTTCCAGTCACGCGCAGCGAAAAGCAATCAATGCAAATGATAGAAATTAACATTCAAACATCCGAGTCTCAAGGACTAATGAAATGTTTGATGGCTGGTAAAGAGTCTAGGTAAAAAACATATGGGGGGTGGGCTTGGGGGAAATGGGGTTTTTATGCAGTGCTGTGCTCTTTTTGAGAATATATGAAAGAAGAGAAATGGTAATTTCATGTCAACTGAACATCGTTGAGGTCAAAATGAGGTGATGGGTTGGGTCGACTGGAAGGATTTTCTGCTCGGGTCGACTGGCTCTTCTGATCGGTCCGATTTAATGACTTGATAAAATGGCAGTTATTATCCAGGGTTTTTGGTGATTTCCTCTTCAAATTTAAGTCAATATGTGTTTGGGAAAGAGGAGGCAAGAGGGAGAGAGAGTGAGATCATGTGTTTTGGGACGTACACTCAAATTTATAAACAAAAAACGCGTGTTTATTTTAACAATATGTTATACAAATCGTTGATGATAGCTACTAAGAATATTTTATTTTTTTATAATCATAAATTCGTGAAATACATATTAATAAAAGTATTTCGTTACATCTTTACTTGCTTAGGTTTAAAGTCTCATGATACGGTATAACAAACATAAGTATGATTCACGTAATTCATAAGTTACATTGTCAAAAGACACAAATTTCTTTTCTTCCCTCTTTTCTATCTTGAGCCCATCAATGGAAGAAACAAGTAGGAGACTTCGTGGGAGTGCAAGAACATGCAAGGTGTAAATACCATTGCTAGAGTGATTGATGAACTGGCTTGCCAAGTTGCAAGGAGTTGTGCCTGACTCCCATTGCAAAGGAAAGTAGGAAACACCAGACGATCCCACAGAACAGTGGGGTTGCTTATTTCCGGTAGAATTCAGCATTCAATGCCTTCTGGTGCGCCACTTTGTTATAATACAGGTAAGAGACACTGGAGACGACTAAATTTGAGTCTTATCAACAAAATTGAATGATGAAATGAAGAGCAACTGCTTTTTAGCCAACAATTAAAATCAATTCCCTAGCCTCCAGATGGCAACATCATGTCCCAAAACTGACCACTTTTTCAATCTTTAAAACGGATGAACAACGTGAAGCTTGCTTAAGTCCATAAAACCTTTGGTTCTAGGAGAGTTTGGCAGTTAGCCATTATTATTTATTAATTACTATTCTAAAACACTATGCACCTAATAATTAGATTATGCTTCAAAGCCTCATAAATTTACGAAGGCCGTTTTTCAGCTTTTACGGTGGCAACCGCCTCATTGTTCATGCTGTCTCAACAACCTTATTGCGCATTGCAACCCTACAGGATTTCCTTATTAATGCAGAAGGCCACTCGACCATGAAAGAACGGCAAGATATAGTTTTCAGTATTCACTCTTTTAGATAAGAAAATGAAAATTGGACAGACAAGAAGATTGAAACTCTACTTTCTGACATCCAATAGAAGTAGAATCTTGATGAACTTGTATGCAAGACTTCAAGTTGGGTCTGATCAGCATTTCCCACAATTATGCATTTACCAGTCAAAACATGGTCCAAGTTAAAACTGCTCTTGGTATTCATATATTGCATAATTAAGCTAAAAAGGAAAAAAGGCTGAACCTAAAAAGCAGTTTGTATGCTCAACTGCATCATAAAGATACTGTGGTCGCAAGGAATTATAATTATTCAGAATCCAAGAGTAATTGGCAACGAAAGGCAAAAATTTAAGGTACAATGATAATAAAGTCGCATGGTACAGCCAATCTGTCACAACTTTATAAAATTGAATTATATAGCACATACACATCTAATAACAAAAATGTAAAAATGATGCATTGTAATCTGATTGAACAACAACACTAGCATAAATAATGTCAACATGCTTTGTTCACAGATAAAGCAATAAAGAGAAGGTATACACACATTTCACAAAAATACAAGAGGTTAATATCCTATCCTGCCATATAATTTCTGCAACATTAGCACAAAAATTTTCACAGATTAATACTATGACCTATGATGGAAGAGACAAAGGCAATTTAAAAGGAATTTCCACGAAATCGTACATGCAATACAAAGCAGAGAGATTTAACAAACTTAATGGAATGAGGAAAAAAAGGGTAAGGTTCATAAATGAAAAGGGATGAATTATTAGGTGAAGCTAAGCTGACTAGGCTAATCAAGAAGCATTTTCATTTTAGCCAACAACCACCAGCCGCCAACAATAAGAGGAAGTAAACACTGTCTTCTCATCCCAAAAGAAATCAGCTGGTAAATGGAAAATTAAAAATAAATAAAACATTAGAAACCTTGACAGAGACAATTCACTAGTGACATAAAGGATTAAGGCTTCATAGATGTTATTCCAAAAAGTTGGATGGATCTTGACTAAAGAATCCACGACAAGAAACACTTGAACAAAAATTGATCTCACAACATAAGGACTAAATCAAACTGATCCCACTTGTTAAGAATTTGGAGATATGATGACATCTCATGGAAAGTCAAATTATCATGCAATAACCACAAGGTTGCTCTGAAAACTAATTACCCTCACAACACCGCTCCCCCTACTCTTTCTTATAACCAACCCAGAAGAGGTCAATGGATTAGCTCCATGCCACATTTCATTTTTAAGACAAAATACCTCATATCTACATAATGCGACCAAAGCAAGGTGTTAAAATGGAAAGCTGGAATAGACATCTCTCTAAATAATCATTCAAGACAAAACAATTCCCATCTTACCAATTGAATACATGTGATATGCATAATAAATAATATGGAACTTTATAAAGATACAAATAAAAGGAAAATTAGAGAGAATGTAAACATTTACAGACCACTTCTATAGGCAGGTGACAAAACTTTCGACTTGAGTCTCATTTGTACACTAATTTGCAAAAGATGGAGAAAGATGAGGTCCAAGCAAAGATCTAAGACTCTTCAGTTTGACCCTCACGCTCTTTTTCCTCTTTCTTTTCACCTCCAGATTCATCACCATTCCTTTCACTGAATTTTAAACGTAGTGGCCGAGCCATCAATTCCTACAAAAAGAAGAATGATGAGTTCCTTAAAACCATATTTCAAGAAAAAGAATAATAAATGCCAAAATATTGGAGCTAACAAGATCAAAAGGCATTGATGTATGACAATGTTTATGGTCAAGCTGGTTCTTGACTTTACAGCTTATGGTTGTTTTAGGTTACAAATTAGCTCGTAACAATTAAGAGGTAAGGGTTCAGATTTATGCGTCAGACTTGAAAGAGAGGAAAGTGTAGCAATCTAGTAAGAATTATAACAACGTGGAAGCTATTAGTGTGACTACAGAGACAAGTTTATGTGAAGTGATATATGAAACTTTTTATTGAGAGAAAACATCAAACTTATGTCCAGGACAGTCTCACAATACAAAAGAGTTCTACTCAGTAACCACCTTCATAAGCCTCAACACAAATGTAGTTAGCCTAGGGATCATATTAACCAACATTTAAGGTCTATGGAAAGTGTTTTCCAATAACAAGCACTAAATTGTGCAAAAGGATGCAGAGTGCTGAAAAGATAGATTCAATTTGATTACCTTCCCATTTAGAGTAGAAATTGCAGCATCAGCTTCCTCCTTTGTGGCAAATGAAACAAAGCCATACCCGGCAGACTGTCCTGAAGGGGTACCAAAAATAACCCTAGCTGCAACTGGGTTAAAGGCGGAGAAAAATTCTCTGAGATGACTCGACCTAACTTTCCAAGCAAGATTGGACACATAAAGCTTATGGCACGTCTCACGAGGAGGAACAATTGGCAGTGGAGAAGGCGATGGTTTCTTGAATCTCCTTGCAAACTCTACCCTAATAATTCTCCCCGACACTTCCTGCACCAGAAATCATACATCAACATGCAAAACAAGATACATACCATGGAAAGCAATTCTCTTGTTTTATTCTTGATGACAATGTATTTCATTTTCCTTTTTCATTTTTTGCTCCACCACAAGCTCATACAACAAAGGTAACCCTCAGCCTTCCAGAAACCAACACTCCCAAGGCAACAGGCTCAGACCCAGAGTTTTAAAAGGAACTCCCCCTTAAAAGAAGAACAGGTGCTAATTAATTCACGGGACATAATTGAGTATCTTGAGAATTATTAATCATTCATGTATACACCTCAAAAAGACTATCACAAAAGATTTCTTTTAGTCCAATGTAACAATGAAAATGTGTAAAAGGATTTATATTTTCCCTCGGGAAATAAAGAACCAAGTTGATTAGCCTTTCAGAGAAAAAATGAGAGAAATTAAGTAAAGATTATAGAAAACAAATGAGTCTTTAATCATAAAAACCAAACAAAAGAGTAAATAAAATTAAAATTTTAAAAAAAACTTACATGAGAATCGAGTTTATCGACAGCAGCCTGAGCTTCTTCTCCAGAAGCCATTGTCACAAATGCAAAGTTCCTACTTCTTCCATCTTTATGCTTTATAATCTAAAGAGCAATCCACATAACCAAAAAACCCATATCATAAATCATTACAAAAACCAAAAAATAATAAAAAAGGCAATTAATTTTTTTTAAAAAAAGTTCTATAGAGAAAGAAAGAACCTCAACATCTGTTACGTTTCCACATTGGCCAAAGAGATCTTTGATATCAGCAACCGTATAAGACCATGGAAAATTCAACACAAAAAGCTTTTTTTTCACATTTGATTTCTGGGTTTTCTCTGTTTCAGCCTCTACATTTACTTCCTGAACTGTAGAGCAGAGTAGAACGTCCGGCTTCTTTCTGGAATTGGTCAAAGAAGAGATGGTGCAACTGTGGGAAAGGATAGGGGCAGACTTGGAAATGCCGTAAGTTAAGCAAGAGAGTCCTGTGGGTTTGGGACACAAGAGGAATTTGGAGGAAGATGAAGGGTAACGTGAGAAGGAGAGTGCTGCAACTGCTTCAACGGCCGCCATTGTCTTTCGAGTTTTCGAGTTTCGTCAGCAGGAAAGATTGGATAATAAGCGCTAAGATTTTTATTTGGCGGGTTAACATGGTCATTTCCTTTTCTGATTTTTTCTTTTAAAAAAAAGAAATTATGCCAATTGAGGGAAAATGACAAAAAAGAATAAGGAAGAAAAACGAACAAAAATTGATCTCCACTTTGAAAAAAAAGGAAGGAAAAGTATTTTTTTTAAAAAAAAGAAAAATTAGTATAGATATTTAAACAGAAGAAAAATTAACTTGAATTATATTGTTAATATTAATAAATATCATGTGTTATTCTTATAAGATGAATGTAACCTAAATTCAGAACAATCCATCTTTATTTTATTTTGTAATTTAAAAATATATTGATCAACATTAATTTCTCTTTATCTTACTTTTTAGTTGGTTTGGATATTAAAATATATTGTTAAGCTAGGAGTATAGAAAAAGTGATTTGGATGTAAATAAAATAAAAGGTTATCATTGTGTTAGACTTTGATTATGAAAAGATCAAATTAAATAAATAAATTTTGGGCGACTCTTTGAAAATTATTCTGTTATTTTCACAACATCGAAACATGTACACATTCTATAATTGAACTTTTTGAATTCGATTTCTTTTTTTTTAATTACCAAGTAAGTTTCCATTACCTTAAACTTTCCATTATGAAATAGGGAATAGGGGTAATATCATGCCTAGCCAAAATAGTTTTTATGTCTTTAATTCTTGAAATCAATCGTGAATTTTACATGTGCTTAAGGAAGGGATTAAATTTCCGAGGAATCAAAATTAAGCTTAATCTTCCCTTGATTTCATACCCATCAGAATAGTCAAAAACATCAATTTGGCACATCTATGGTATCCGAAATTTACGCTAGAAAACAACATGATCAAAGCCTTCAAAATCAAACTAAGAAATTTGTGGTATATGTAGCAATTTTTATGCAATGACAATAGCACCATGTAATTTAACAAACATTCCCTTCTTTGGCTTCTTTGGATGTTTGGAATTCAAATGGCTCGTTCTAAGGTTACCAAATTTGTTCACAAGTAGAATACACTCAAAATTATCCATTTATATATCTTCCGCGACTAGATGCCACATCCTTTCCTACAAAATTTACCCTCCCATTCAGAGAGGAAATAAAACAAGATAAGATCTGTCCACGTATATTTGAATCAGCCAAAGATAAAATGGTTCAGAAATTGGATCAGGTCACGGCTTGATATAGAAGCCATATAGATTTTTAAGAAATTTTTGCCAAGATTAGCTGGACACACTTTGGATGGATTTTTGGTTTTGAATAATCCAGATTTGCTAAAGATAACAAGAAGGAAAGAATCCATGTTGTACAAATTTATTTCCTAATTTTGAAAGGATTAGGTTTGTAGTAAATGGAAAGTAAGATTTTCTGTTTAGGATTCCAGGTGTTCTCAGATATCTCCTAAGGACTCCCTAGCATTCTTTTATAAATTCCCATTCTGACAGTCTCATTTGTCACAGCATCCATTGCCTTCTCTTGATTCTCTCTTACCTTCGTTGATTGCAGTACTGAAGATGACTATCTGCTTTGAGAGTCCTGAACTAGCAGGCATTTGATCTGCTTTTCATCTCCATCCCAATCTTTTATTTAAGATTCAATTATGATCATTTCGTTTTAATCTTATAGTGTCTTTTATTAATTATTTGTTTAGCGGCTACTCTACGAGAGGAGAAGAAGATGCAGACGGATGCTGATAAACTCGTATCAAATGAAGAATTTGCAGTGCCCGAAAACAATGCTTTTGGGAAGTCATTCAGGTAAATTAATTATTTTCTTAAACTTATATCTCAGGTTTATGTTATGGATATAGGTTCCTGGAATATCCAATGAAAAAGACTCGATAATGGGTGAAATTAATGGTTTGGCAGGGATTATGAAGCAGATGGTGAAAGGAAAGACATTGTCGAGCAACACTACAAATTAAGTCATATCAACCAAACCTATGATTTTGTAAGTAAATTTTTATACAAACAATATATATATATATATATATCTAATTAAACAAATAATGGATGACGGTGTCAGTTATTGCTTGGGCATTTACTACTTTGCAAATAAATGTAGGTGAAGCGGATGAGGGACGAATACAAGAAGCTTGATAAGGCAGAGATGGGAATATGGGAATGCTGTGAACTTCTCAATGACGTTGTGGATGACAGTGATCCTGACTTGGATGAACCTCAGATTCAGCACTTGCTGCAGAGCGCTGAAGCAATCAGAAAAGACTATCCTGAAGAAGACTGGTTGCACCTGACTGCTCTCATTCATGGTAAACACCCCTTGGATAAGAAGAAATTAATTCCCTTTTATCTTCTCCCGATAAAATTTGACAATTAACATACTTATCCGATTCCAACACGTTCCAGATCTTGGAAAAATCCTTGTTCTTCCAAAATTTGGAGAGCTACCTCAATGGGCTGTTGTTGGTGATACATTCCCTGTTGGATGTGCTTTTGATGACTCAAATGTTCACCACAAGGTTTTGAAATCTTTGCTTTGATCTTTAATCATTTTACCAATTGAAAATATCAGGTTTTATGATCTTAACTCAGATGAATTTATAATTGCCAAAATTTTTGCCGCAGTATTTCAAGGAAAATCCTGACTTCAACAATCCAAGTCACAACACCAAAAATGGGGTATACTCTGAAGGATGCGGGCTAGACAATGTGCTCATGTCATGGGGGCATGATGACTATATGTACATGGTGTGCATTTGACTCCATCAATCAACCCTCCAAACTAAACTCACTTAAGGCTCTCGATACTGTTTTTTGCACAAGTTTTATTTAATATCTATCTCATAATCTTTTAGGTGGCCAAGGAAAATGGAACCACATTGCCTTCGGCAGGATTGTTCATCATCCGATACCATTCCTTCTATCGTAAGCTTTCACAATCAAATTGATTTTCACCAAGCTATAACTCACAAAAAATTTTGATCAATTTAACTGATAGTATCATTTTCCTTCCCGTCTTGCTTACAGCATTGCATAAGTACGGAGCATATACCCAGTTGATGAATAAGGAGGATAAGGAGAACATGAAATGGCTTAAAATATTCAAGTAAGTGTCCTCTCCCTTCTTCAATTTGTTATATTATTATTTGGTAAAAGCTTATTGACTTGCTTTTGATAAAATCTTGACAGCAAATATGACCTCTACAGTAAGAGCAAAGTTCTGGTTGATGTTGAAGAGGTCAAGCCATATTATGAATCTCTTATTGCAAAGGTAAGCTCCATTTCCTTTTTCCTTATACTCAGAGCTTATGTCTTCAAAGTTCTTTAATTTTTCTGAAAAATTGTTTGCAGTATTTTCCAGCAAAGCTGAACTGGTGAAACTTCAAGGCTCTAAGAGGGGATTGCTGCAGCTGCAAAGCTTGTCCTGATCTGAAGAGAAGTCAGTAGGACGGCTAGATGAAGTAAAATGTCAATTAAAAGAGAATTGTTGCATATATTTTAATAAAATTCTTGAATCTTAGGTTTGATCTTTATCTCAAATTTGTTTTGGGTTGTTGATATATATTTCTAATTCCATCATTTTTGTGCCCAAATCCATCCTAATATAGGGACGATCCTCACTAACAAATGAACACACAAATTACCATTTAAACAGGCCCTTCCGCCCCATGCAAATGTACCAAAAACAGAAAAGATACACTTTTAATTCAACAAGGCATAAGCCTGTGAAATTTGGCTGAATCAGAAATGCGTGGTGTGGCTCTTGTGCAAGTCGTCAAACAAGTTCAACGTTGCAAGAAAGAAGCAAAGCCTAAAGGTAGTAGGAGAGCAAAAACCAAAGCATAATCTTTGCGGGTTCAAGCCTAAAGCCTAAAGGCATTCGGGAGTTGAGACACATAACCGTCTTCTTTCTAAGTATTTTTCTTTTTCTTTGCCTTTTCCTTCATAAATACAAAAGTTGTGGACAACTAGTCTCTTTTGTTTCATTTTCTTCCCATATCCTGTACAAGGTATTCCTTTTCAAAAAGTGGTACCCAAAGTGATTAGACCTGAAGACCTAAATGCCCCTTTAAAAAATTGTTATCAATTTTGCTTTACTACCTTTCATGGATCCAAGGCAAAGAACAAAAACTTGTGGGGTTGCATGACAAAAGCTGCATCGTGCAGCCAATTTTTTCAACACGTATATCTTTACTCGAGGCAATCCCCTTTCCTTTTCATATATTAGAAATTTTCTATTTTTGAGAGTCTTTTTCATTATTAGATCTCAAAACAATACCCCATATAGGTCTTCACAGAACAATTCTCCAAACAAAATGGCGTTAAGCAACAATGTCATCGGTGCAATCAACTTTGTTGCTATGCTGCTCTCAATTCCAATCATTGGTGCAGGAATCTGGCTTGCAAATCAACCAGACAATTCTTGCGTGAAGATTTTGCAATGGCCTGTTATAGTTTTGGGGGTCTTAATCTTGGTTGTAGCTATCGCAGGCTTTATAGGAGGGTTCTGGCGCATCCCCTGGCTCCTTATCGCCTACCTTGTCGGCATGCTCATCCTCATCATATTACTTGCATGCTTGGTTGTTTTCATCTATATGGTTACCATTAGAGGTTCAGGCCACCTTGCACCTAGTCGCGCGTACTTGGAATATCATCTGGAAGATTTTTCAGGCTGGCTTCAACGAAGAGTCAGAAGTTCTTACAAGTGGGAAAGGATAAAAGTCTGTCTCAGCTCGACAGAGATGTGTGCCCAGTTGAACCAGAGTTATACAATGGCTATAGATTTCTTTAATGCTCATCTAACTCCTATAGAGGTAAATCTCAGTTTCCCTGCTTGGTTTCAGATCATTCCATAAATCCCAAAGCCGAATATGGACTTCTATACGATCAAACCTTTCTGCTTGCTAGACTTATCCCTTGTCCCAACGGTCTATGTGATTATTTCTTGATTTTAACATCTTTCGAAATTTCTCCTGTTATAGCCTCCGTAGCTAGGAATTTAGGCAATGTCTGCTTCTTAATGTTACTTCAAATCTATTTGCGGAAATCAATAGTAAGAAACTTAATTTAAGGTATATGAGGACATGAATCTTAATGTATTGCAATACTTCAATATGGGGGCTATGCTATTTGTGAAATCTCCTACTTATTTTCTGTCAGAATTCTTGAAATCTTTGGAAATTGGGAGTTTTTTTTTCCTTTGTTAGTCATGCTTAGCATAAAATCATCTGATCAGACCAAGTTTTCTAAGTATGAAAGTAAAGAACAATAGGACATGGTAAGGTAATTAGATTCTCCAACCACGAGTTAATCTTCTTTTCCAAAGCATTCTCATCTTATCTTTGTTCTTTATGCTTTTTCTTTACAGTCTGGATGCTGTAAGCCACCTACTGAATGTGGATACACGTTCGTAAATCCAACAAACTGGATCAGCCCCATCAACAACATTGCAGACCCGGATTGCATACAGTGGAACAATGACCAAACCCAACTCTGCTACAACTGTAATTCGTGCAAAGCAGGATTACTTGCAAATCTGAAGGAAGAATGGAGAAAAGCCGATATAATACTGCTTATAACTCTTATTGCTTTGATATGTGTATATTTGATAGGGTGTTGTGCCTTTAGGAATGCCAAAACTGAGGACATATTTAGAAAATACAAACAAGGTTATACGTGAGGATTCTATGTGTAACCTGATCGTGGGGCAAGTGGGGTTGGTTTGAATGGAGTTTTTGATTTTATGACTTTGTATAAGCAGATTCTTTCCTTGTTTACATTTGGTTGAAAATGTGTGTTGGTACTGACGGTTTTCATTACAGGGTAGAAATTTATGTAAAGGCAGTGGTGAGCTGTGCGCAATGTGCGAGTGGCACCGAAGATATTGCCTTTACTCAATCAATACACGAGAACTTGGACTTTGAGGGTGGGGTTCATGACAAATTGTCAATCACTGTCTGACAAGATATAGAAAAAGTCTGCATTTCAATGACAAAACTAAGAAACAAATCATGCGCTTTCGGCACGAATCTCCATCACTTCTGCTTCTGTTCTTGTAAATCTTAGTAGTTAAGTTTTGAAAAACACGATTACTTTTCCAGGAAATCATGAAGCATGGGGGTAGAAGACCTGAAATTCCGGTTCTGAAATTTGGAAAGAATTCTAAAATAGAGTAAGGCTAAACAAACATTGTTAAGCATGACCGGGAATGATACCCCAAAATGATCTCCAGCAGTATGCTGAGCACTTCTAAGTATCATCCACCTTCACATCAATCACCTCGTTGCTCTTTTACACAGGCCAAATCCATTTTCCATATCTTCAAACATTTCAGACTCATGGGGTGTTTTATAGAATCTTTTGCTGTCTGTTTAGTTTCAGAACATTGAGAATTCGCCACAACTGAAAACATTTGCGGCGGAGTGTTGATGAATCTAGTTTGAACCCCTTGCAATTAAGTCATTATCAGCATTGCGATTTTCAGATTCTCAGGAAAATAACACTTGGTTAACATAAACAAATTCTGTCAGATATCAGGTGGAAATTAATACAATTTTTTCTTGCAAGATGTACAACACGGGAGATATATACAAGGTCAGATCTTTCCAAAGAAGGGATTCAAATTATCGTGATTTGTGCGCCTCTAGTGGCCTAAAATTGGATATTTAACATCATGATTCATGATCGTCAACATTTTCTTCATTATTTTTGCTCACATATTTCTCCAGTCTAAGCTATTCCATTTCCTGTTCATTATTAGATCTCACTCCCAGGCAACAAAGCCATCCCCAGAAAGATCTTCTCAGAATCCTCTCACCAAGATGGCAGCAAGCAATACCATCGTTGGTACAATCAACTTCATCACCTTGCTTCTCTCAATTCCAATCATTGGTGCTGGAATCTGGCTCGCGAACGAACCAGACAACTCATGCGTGAAGATTTTGCAATGGCCTCTTATAATTCTAGGCATCTCAATCTCGGTCGTGGCTCTATTAGGTTTCGTAGGAGGGTGTTGGCGCATCACTTGGCTCCTCATCGTGTACCTTGTCGCCATGTTCATCCTTATAGTACTGTTTGCGTGCTTGGTTGTTTTAATTTATTTGATCACCAACAAGGGTGCAGGGCACCCTGCTCCAGGTCGCACATACTTGGAACATGACCTTGATGATTTTTCTGGTTGGCTTCGTCGAAAAGTGGCGAGTCCTTATAAGTGGAATCGGATAAGAGCCTGCCTTAACTCGACAGATATGTGTTCTGAGTTAAACCAGAGATATCGCATAGCTCAGGATTTCTTCAATGCTCGGCTAACCTCTATACAGGTAAACTTCATTTCATCTTTTCAAGTTTCAGCTTCACAATTTTCTAATGAAATTTCCAAAAGCAAAGAATTAGACAGAGCGATGTAGTTTGATTCTCCAAACTATGAAAAATTATTCTTTTCAAAGGGTACCTATTTTGCATTTTTACCTTTATTCTTCTGTCCCATTTTTTTCCTCTTTTTATGTTCTTTACAGTATGGATGCTGTATGCCCCCAGCTGAATGTGGGTACACGTATATAAATCCAACGTATTGGCTTACTCCCAACAACACAGCAGCCAGCATGGATTGCTTGCAATGGAGCAATGACCAGATGCAACTTTGCTTCCATTGCGATTCATGCAAAGCGGGATTACTTGCTAACTTGACCAAAGAATGGAGAAGCGTAGACATCATATTGCTTATTACTCTTGTTGTTCTGATATGTGTGTATCTGATAGGATTTTGTTGTGCCCTTAGGAAATCTAAACCTGGAGATGGAGACACATCTCCCAGACGCAACAAGGAAAATACCTAGGACCGTCTTGATCTCCTTCCAACTACAATAATTGTTTTTGTTGTTTTTTTCATTTTTAAGTTGCCATGTTGGAACTTGAAAGAGATGGCATTCATTTGGAGTTGGAACTTCAAATCCAAATATTATTTTTACCCATGTAAAGTAGTAATTATCGAGATTTGGCTTTGAATGTTGTATAAAGCTGAGTGCTGTTCGTGTGCGTGATTTGCGGAGGCAACCGAAAGATGATTGCCAAGTTGTCTATCACGAGGAATTAGCAGGGCAGCAGCAAGTATTTGTGGGGTTTCAGTATTCATCTCCATCATTGTCTCTTTTTTCTCTCTTTTTTAATTAAAAAAATTACTTTAAATAGTACTAATATTTAAATCTTATAAGGTTTTCTATAGCAAATTATATATAGCGATAAATTCTAGAGAAAATAACCTAACGTTAATCATATTCAATGTTCTAAAGCTAAATAAATGTAAATAAACCGTATTTCTTCCATCTCAATTTCTTTATTAAAACCATTAAACATTTATATTATAAAAAAAATGTAATATAAAATACATCTCAAATCTTTTATTTCCATTTTTGTAAAATTTAAAAAAAGACAACTTGAAGCCGAAGGGAGTACTAAAATTTCTAACTTTACAGTTGAAAGAGGCATATTTGGGCTGGGTTTGTAAGTTTCATCGCAAAGGTGCGTTAGCCACCCTGAACTCAATCTACTCAAGCGAAAGAGGATTTGGGCTTTCACGATTCATCACGAACTTCCCAAAACTGTGACACTGGACTATGACTCGTGTTCACCCGCTTTCTAGATTGGCTCTCTTCGTTTACTGGATCTAAAAAGAGCCCAACCTCTTCAGCAGTGTAACAAGCCCAGCGCTGAAAAGCATCTCCAGAGTCCAGGCCAGGACCTCTGCACACTTTCGTTTATTCGACTTTCAGTAGAAAAATACTTAAATTTTTTCCCCGATAAGATTGTCTGCTTTACATGGACAATAGCAATGATTATGTTTTGTTTCGATCATTGTCCGAACCCAAGGAAACAACAAGAATTCCCAACAGTGGAGTATTTGCTGGATGGTTTGGTGAACAGTGTTCCCAATGCTCGTCTTTGGTCGTATTTCAGTGTCTCATTCCAGAGCTTTGAGGAATGAA